ATAATATCAATGCTTACACAGTCGAAGGCCTTAGTGAGGTCACATAATACCGCAGTAGTACTCGAGCCCTCGTCAAAGCCACCGACTATGTAATCAATTACTTTTGCGACTGCTCCTATTGCAGATCTATGCCTTCTAAACCCAAATTGGGCTGGCGAGAATAAATTTTTATTTTCAAAATAGTTAGCTAATTTCTCTTTTAGCTTTACTTTAAATATCTTACCGATAACAGGTGTAATGGCAATTGGCCTATAATTATCAGCATCATTAGAATCACCTTTTTTAAAAAGTGGCAATACCTTACTAATTTTAAGTTGGTTAGGCCAATTTCCTTCGATTATGCATTGGTTATATAACATATTAAGTGGTTTAATGAGGGATTCTATAGAGGCCTTAATCATGGGACTACTGAGGCCATAGTAATCCGTGCATGGCGTATTTTTAATATGAAGTATAGCCTCTCTTACGTCAGATTCAGAGACTGGACCCATAAAAAACGAATACGGGGGCTTCGGTGTCATTTTAATAAAATCATTAGAGGAAATATTATTATCGTTTTCGATTGTTTGAATAACCTTCTCTGCTACATTGAAGTCTTCAGATGTTAGATTCGATGTACTGGATGATTTGTTGTTGGATTTTCTTTCTGCGTTTACAATATTCCAGATTGTTTTATTTTTATTTTCTGATGCAGCTATTCTTTTATTGTAAGCGTTACGTTTCTCTAATCTAATTGACCTCCTATAGTTTTTGCGCGATTCAGAATATAGTCTTCAATCTTCTAACGAATTGGTTTTTTTGGATCTAGATTTGTTTTGAAATACTTGATTTCGCTGTACCCGCAGTTCCTCATTAAACCACAAAATCTTTTTGTCACCACTGCGAATTTTTTTTATGGAAAAGCATAGATCTACAATAGGACATAGAATAGTAAATATTATATTAGAAATCTCCTGGGAGCAGTAATTTCCCATTTCTAGTCCATGCCAACTAATTTCAGATAACTTTTCTGCGAACTGTAAAATTGTACGTTCATTAATAAATCTTTTGTTGACATAACTGGTATCACTTAAAATATTAAAGTCTTTTATCTCCAAAAATAAAGTCAAATGGTAGGCTATGTCGGCATCAATGACTTTTGATATTATAACTTCCGGATTTATATTGGAAATAATATTGTCCAAACATGATTTAGAAGTGGGAGTTATTCTAGTTGGAACTGTGATGTAATGTTTCATACCATACATATTTAATATAATAATTAAATCAAGCGAATGCTAATTTAAACTATTAGAATCAACATTAAAATCACCGATAAAAATTAGGTTCTTAAATTTTTTATATAAATAATTAAATTTAGAAAATACGTTTTGAATATTGATATGTCCCCATGGGAGGAGGATCTGTACACTGTTACTAAGGCATAATTTTTATTTATCAATTCTACACCACAGAATTCTGCATGAAAAGGCTGGCAAAATTTTGAAACGTCAATAACTTTTAATGACATATTATTCTTAGAAAAAAACAATAATAATAATAATAATAATAATAATAATAATTAAAAACAATCAGAATTAAATTACAATCAATATTGCATAACTAAATTATTCACTTTCTGCCGCACTCTCTGCGCTACCGAAATGATAAATTAACGCTCTGCAGGTCTATCGTTATGTATCAAAATATATCTTTAACACAGTTAAACAAAAACTTAAACTGCCTATCATTTAAATATATGACAACACCGCAAAACGCTAATTGACGCCACAAAAGTGGTCAAATATACGTAAATTTGAATATTGGTGACGCTGCAATGTGTATCAATTGAAATGACGCCCAGGTGTCGATAAAGTAAAAGTAACGATTTGTGTTTTCCTTTCAATTTAATGTTATCCGCCTAATTTAAGCTGCTTCTTCCAACAGCAACGAGTATATATGTCTAAAATAAGTAGATCAAGGGTAAACAGACATGGGCGCTTTAAAGCGCATCTTTATCGGGACGCTTCAATGATACAGAGATGTAAATATATATATATATATATATATATATATATATATATATATATATATATATATATATAACGCAGGGTTAAATATATTAAGTACGATATTGTTTTCTTCTAAAATGTCTACTAGGTCGTTTACGCGTACTTGTGCTACAATATTTTCTAATGCATTCGCCATTCTTATATAACTGTAAAATTAGAATATATAGTAATACAAAATTCCGAATCAATTAAAATATATACGATACGGCTATGAATAAATAAAGTGTGACTTATCTATCAAAAAAAAGGTGTATTACAGTAAAAACCATGGAAGCATAATTAAATCTTAACGAAAACAATTATTAGGCCGATCAGATGTATTAAAATTTTTATTTTAACTAAAAATAAGCATTGAAGAATGAGGTATAAATAATATGTTTACCTCTTGAACCTGCAAATTTAATTACTGCACGCCTTTCATCTCTAGACTATAATAGAATATACAATATAGAATGTAGCATGACTTTTTTCCATATTCTTGGTATTTTTTCTTCTTGCCATATATTTCTTTTATTAGTTTGTACATGCATAGTTATTTATTATACAAGTGAAAAGTATTAGATTTTCTCGTGTATAATAAACTATTTTTTTCTGTGAGGGGAAAAACGACGATTTAATATTGAAAAACAAAAAATACTCTAAAATATCTGCCTTTACCTATGTATATAAATCTGGGAAAAAAAGTACTCACTTTTTCCCGGGGAAATACTTTTTTTCGGGAAACGGGGAAAAAGTAAATGTTACATTTTGTTATCTGACAAGAGAGATAGAATGTCAAACTTTTTTCTCGTCACAAAAAAATATTTTTTCTCCTCGATATTTGAATATCTTAGTTGCTTTGTCATTCCTGCAGTTATATTTCTTTTATTAGTTTGTGTATGTAAACAATTAGTTTTTATATCATTCTTGATGGCATTTTTGTTGCTTTAAAGTTTATGTGTATCTCTTATTTTTTCCATATTATTAGGCGTGCTCTCTCGAACCTCTTGTTCATCTAGGTTCATATCATCATTAATGCTTTCGTATCTGTTGTTTCTTCTGTTACTTGGAATAAACAGTTCTTCAAAATAATTTTTCCATCTAGGTATTCAATATTTATTTTTCTTCTGCTACCAAATGTCCTTTGGTAGCAGAAGTTTTAATGTAGTTAAAAATAGTTTGTATGAAAAAATTTATTGAGACAATTAGGCGTTGCCAGACTTATTCTATTTACTTAAGACCTTCCAGACTACATAAAATAATAAGCGTTACAATATACAGGGTAATGAATTTGAAAAACCAAAGAAACTAATAATTTAAGAGAAACGGCAAAACTGGCAAAATTGCAAATATCAAATCTGGAATCACCATATCCCAAAATAGGTGTACCCCAAATTTTGTACAATTAGGACTAGCAATTTACGAGATAATTGGCCGTTTCCAGACTTTTGGGCCACTCTGTATATTTTGTATTATGTTGTATACAAATACATGAACACAATATAGAAGTTACAGACACTGAAGTAAATAAAAATACAAAATATAACAATTTTTCTAGTTGTTTTATGAATATTATTAGTTTTGGATATTTATAGAAAATAAATTCTAAAATTTTCCTAATTCGTGAATTTATGCGAATCTCTATTCCACTGTGAATGCACATCCTAGTTTACATTGCTCTATTAGTTCTTCTTTTATTTTTATTGCTATTATTTCATCACTGAGTGATCACCTGAGTCGGCTAATATTAGATGGTTACATGCACGGGACTCATCTGGGGCTATTTATTTGCTGGTCGATTGAAATTTAACCACGTACTCGTTGTATCGTTACATTCCACATCACATCTCAATCCTATCACACACCGATGAATTTTTGCTTCATCGAATTATGGCAACGAAACTGATGCACATGCACATGCACCGCCAATAATCAAACCGACCGCTTCCAGATCTCTAACGTTACAATTTGGGTGTAAATTAGATTTTTTCAAGTTAGACACGATATCCACGATTTAAAAATTTTATGCTATGAGTTTTATACAGTGTTTAGTCTTACCATTCGACCAGGGGCGGTTTCTCCATTGGTTCATTTGTGCAGTGAACACCCAGTTAAATTTCATAAAAATGCATTATTTTAAAAATACATAAATAACATAAAAATATAAATTTAATTTTTATTTTCATACGTGTTAATCTGTATTTTTTGGTACATCATTGCCCTCTGGCTGATCGCGTCTCTGTGGCACAATATACCTACCTAAGTATACTGTATCTGTGGCGCATTATGATGAGTGAGCCTAACACAAGTGAGACGATTTGGCAAATGCATATAGCTAAAAAGAGAAGACAACACACCAACAGATCCTTTAAACTGCGCAGAAGAACACATTAATTGGCGCGCCGCTAACAAACAAGGTTTCCAAACCAGTGTTGCCAGTCTACAATTCACAATTGTACTAGATGTAGTACATTCTGCGTGCATCAGTATATATATAGTCTTCTTTGTTTAGATTCGTTATAGACCCCCTTTTTTCCTCTTCAATGAATTAGATGTCACCGCAAATAGAATTCGAAAAATATGATATATTTAAGGAATCTGGTACATTTTTTAGACAAATCTGGTACACAACAAAAACATATTCTGGTAACACTGTACCAAATCAAACAAACTGTCATTCCGTCTTTTGTCATTCCTCTACTACGAAACACTTTTATTAGTATTATTTTATTTGTGCTCATTTAAAAAAATGTGTTTAATTAAGAACTGTGACATTAATAAATTGAAAGTATGTGTGTCAATTCTTTTTTCTTTCGAATTGACATTCCTACACTTAAAAAGTTATACTCAGAAATAGAAAATACCCAATATTCCAAATATATCATATATTCATCTGCAAAAATAATAAATGAATTCTAGAACAAAGCGTGGAATTAGGGCTGGGAATAAATGAAAATAACACCGAAATATATGACATGGGCCAAAAAAGAAGATACTAAAGGTAAAACAGTTCAAAGTGACGAAAGCAAAGTGTACTTCTTCGAAGAAGTTCAGTCATTTATGTACTTAGAAGTAGTATTTAGCAGTAAATTTAATATAGATACAGAGATACAGAGCAGATTACTCAAAGGATATATACATTTATGAATACGTATTCAGAGACAGAGGAACAAAACTCTAAATATACAAAAATAATGAGGCCTCTAATATTGTTTGGAAGTGAAATTTGGACAATGGATAAAAGTATACAAAGAATATTTGTAGTAGAGGAAGTGCCTGCGAAAAATTTACGAAGGAAAAAGTGTATAGGGAAGAATCTAAAAGAAATTACAAGAACTATTTTACGAACTAGTCACACAGACTAGTCATTGTATTCACATTTAAGGGATATAGACTAATATGGTTGGTACCTGCACATTTTACCCATGAAAAATGAAAGAATAGCTCTAAGGCTAATGAAATGTGACATAGAAGGAAAAAATAAATAAAGCAGACTAAAAATAATATAATGGGCCCGTTCACTTTTATTTTTGAATGTGAATTATTTATATATTTATAAAGATATTAAACTCTTTTGTCTGGTGGTACTTTTCCCGTTAAGATATTTTTGCTAGAAGTAAGGGAATTCCCATAAAATTCTTTCAGTGACTCATTGCGTCAGAAAACCCCTAATTCCCTTCAAGTCTCGTATCGGTTAATAGTTAAAAGGGCGCGGTTGTCGGATGTATCATTGCACCACCATTCCTCTTCTGCATTTATTAAAGAAATTTACATGATAAAAATATATTATTTTTTAAAAATAATGTGTTTATATTTTCAGATAAAGCTGGAAGCCCTACCTTTTTTAAATTTTAATAAAAACAATTAGTATTACTCAAGCTGAATATTACCAGATCGAAATTTTATTTGAGAAAATGTTTCTGGTAAACGTGACAACGTTGTAAGTATCTAAATAGTGTTGTCTACACATACTTCTAGAAATAAATGCAACGTTGCCACGTTTACCAGATAAATATTGCAAATCAAATTTCTACTTTTTGATTATGGTCTGGTTAATTTTCAGCCTGAGTAATAATAATTGTTTTAATTAAAAAGTAAAAAATAAGCTCCCAGCTTTAAATCTGAAAATATGAGTTCATGATTTTTAGATTTTTAGAAAAATAATGGAATTTTACTATTTAAATTACATATATAAATGCAGAAATGCTATATTAGGGATACTTCCGACAACCCCGCCGTCTTTAAGCATAACCGATACGAGACGTGAACGGAATTAGGGATTTTCTGACGCAATGAGTCACTGAAAGAATTTTATGGGAATTCCCTTACTTCTAGCAAAAATATCTGAATGGGAAAAGTACCACCAGACAAAAGAGTTTAATATCTTTATAAATATATAATTATTTCACATTCAAAAATGAAAGTGAACGGGCCCATTGGACGAGGTGCAGAAAGGTGAAAAAAAAATGAGGAAGAAAGCCAGGGGCATATTTGGCCTCCAGAACTAATACTATTGTTTTTTGTATTTCACTACTTTAATTACCATACAAATTTTATATCAATGTTATTAATTAAATATAAAATTTGTACTTATTTTTTTTATATTAATTTTATTTTGGTTAGATTATTAGAGCAGATTGTCTTTTCCTCAGGATGAGTTGATGTTTTGATCATACAAAATATAATATTAACAATAATAATAGAACTCATAACTGTAATCTTAAAATGTGTTAATACATACTAAATAATTTCATAAACATTAAGAATATTATGTTCTAGAATATACTGAATCACCATTTTTGCTTAATATTATTTATAACTCCACTCATTTTCAATCTCAGCATGCTTTTATTATAATGCAATTAGAATGACCATTTTCCTTCACGGTAATTGTAATTATAATCATCGTATTATAATGTCTTTGTTAAATTAGTTTCAAACAAGTTTTAGCAATACGAGTGGGTAATAGCGCCAGTAGAACCAGTGTATAATGAATTGAAAGCACCGTGGAATTTCAAGATTCAAGTTCGTAGTGCCAGTAAGAGATATTGACTCATAAGATACAGATGCTTAAGAGCATTCGGTACGCTTTTAGAATTTCTTTATTACGAATTTGATGCCGAAATCTTAAATTTCATAGTTTTTGGAGTAGAATATTTCTATATGTTGGAGTACCTTAAATCCTGCACATTTGTTACCAAGTAGCAACTAGAATTAAATAATAGTTTGACATCTTCGTCATCTTAGTTCAAAGATTTACTTATTTATTATTAAAATGTCAGTGGTCTAAGATCCAAAACTTGTTATTTATACAATGCTATTTCGGCAGCTGATTATCATTTCTATAAGTGAAACTTGGCTTGGCCCTGATATTTTTGATAGTGAAATTGTTAATACAAAATATGTTCTCTATAGAAAGGATCGTAATTTTGAAATAACTAATGCATCAAAGGGCGGTGGTGTCTTGCTTGCTGTAAAATCTAGCTTTAAATCTTGTCAAATAGATGTATCTTGTATACCTCACATTGAACCCAACGTAGATATAATTGGAGTCAAAGTTTTTAATGAAAAGTCATCTGTTTCTATCATTAATATTTATATTCCACCTAAATTGTCAGTAAAATTGTACCAAGTAATATTTGATACTCTGTGCAATATGCCTTGCTTATGCGACGGTGGCGATTTGATAATTATGGGTGATTTTAATAAAGCAGATTATATAACTTACTACAATCAATCGACTTATCCACGACTCATAGTGTCCTTCATTAACTTCATAAAATTTCTAGGTTAAGAACAACATAACTTTGTTCTAAACAACAATAATCGTGTTTTAAATCAATCTGGTAATGAGCAGAACTAAATTAGATATATCTAGGTCTTCAGACCCAATGGTAGCTGTAGACCTACATCATCCTCCTATAAAAATTTTAACTAAATTATGTTCTATAAACAAAAAATTCTTGAAACAATTATCTACATCTTATAATTTTCGCAAAGCAGATTTGTATAGTGAGCTACTGAAAGTAGATTGGTCATTCCTTGGTATCGCAAAAAATGCTAATAATGCGCGAGAGCATCTGTACAATAAATTAAATGAAATATTTTCAGAACATGTTCCTAAAAAAATTATCAAAAACTCTTCATATCCAGCATGGTTTTCAGGAAATATAATCAGGAAATTAAAAAAATAAAATCTATCGAAAATATAAATCAACCGGGAACGTAATTTATTATGAGCAATTTAGAACAATTCGCAGCGAGGTAAAAATGGAAATATTAAGCTGACGATCTAATTTTGTAAAAAAATGTCAAGAGAAATTTATGTGATAATCACATTAAATTTTGGTCTTACTTAAATGCCTTGCGTAATGAATCAAGTATACCAAAATCAATGAGTTATCAAGTCGTTAACATGTCAAATTCTGTAGACATAATTAATTCCTTTGCAAATTTTTTCCAATCTGCCTTTATTAGCTCAACAACCTTCGACAATTGTGATGATTTTCAAGAAACTAATGTACCTACTTTGTCAATCCCCTATGTATCGTAGGATACTGTCTTAAAAACACTAAAATGTTTAAAATCTAAAATGACCACTCGACCAGATGGCATTCCCTCTTTCATTATAAAAGATTGTGCTATTATTTTCGTCCAACCTATTACCAAAATTTTTAATCTTGCTTTAACAACTTGGTCTTTTCCTAAAATTTGGAAGCAAGCTAAGATATGCCGGATATTTAAAAAAGGTGAAAGAAATAACTACAGACCCATTGGTATCTTATGCTATTTCAGTAAAGTATTTGAAATGGTAATTTCCGAGTTTTTATCATCGCATGTTAACTCACAGATTGTGGAGGATCAACATGGATTTGTTTCAGGCAGATCTACGGTTACTAACTTGTTTAATATTAGACAGTTTATCTCTGAGGAATTAGACGGTTCTGGTCAGGTTGATGTCATTTATACCGATTTTTCTAAAGCATTTGATAGACTAGACCATGGTATTCTTCTTAAGAAACTTTCACAGTGTGGCTTAACAAAAGATTTAATTGCATTTTTTAGTTCTTATCTATATAGAAGGATCTTAATTGTTAAGGACTATGGTCACAAATGTACCAAGGTAACTGCAACATCTGGTGTTCCTCAGGGGTCAGTCCTTAGGCCAATGTTATTTATAATCTTTATAAATTACATCTACCTGAACTTGAATTGTCATATTGTTTTATATGCTGATGATTGTAAACTTTACATAAAAATAAATTCCATCAATGATTCCATTAGTCTTCAAGACATTGTACAATTGGTGTGAACATAACTTGCTGCCATTAAATATTAAGAAATGTAATTGTATATCATTTACTCGTAAAAAGCAACCGGTAATTTTTGACTACTACATTAATGGCACTAATTTGATAAGATGTACTAGTTTTAAAGACTTGGGGATTATTTTTGACAGAAAATTAACCTTTATTGAGCATATCTATACCATTGTCTCATCAGCGTATAAGACCCTCGGTTTTTTAACTAGGAATTCTAAATTTTTTGTACACAGCAAAACCCTCCAACTTTTATTTGATGCGTTTGTAAGATCGAAGCTTGAATATGCGTCCATATGTTAGTATTCTGGGTACGGTGTACACATTAATAACATCGAATCTGTACAGTAACGTTTTCTCAAAACACTGTTATATAATAGATAAGGTATATCCAGTACGCGGTATTACTCAAGAAATACTACTTCAGAGGTTCAATGTTAAGTCTTTGCAATTAAGTCGGATATATAGCTGTGTTGTATTTTTATTTAAATACTAAATAATCAAATTGATTCGCCACATCTACTTTCTTTAGTAAACTTTCATGTACACAGGGTTCCAACAAGGTTACATAACATGTTTTACTTACCCGTTGTGCAATCAAATATACTAATCTATTTACTATTGCATCAAGTATGTGTCAATTATATGAGGTTTCAAAGTGAAATTGACTTGTTTAACTCATCAGTGCTCAAAATTAGGGAAACATGTTGTAGACCGTCTGGTATATGTTCCAACTTAATTGTGATTTTGTGTGCGCCCTTTTTTCCTATTTCATAGTTTTTTTTTAAGGGCCCGTACTAAATTGCAATATATTAATGCTTTCGATGAAATATTAGTTTTAATTTGTGAATTACTGAAAGTAATTTTTTATCATTGTATTTTTCCACCCAGTATAAGGCGCACGCTGTTAGGGTGGTGTATTACTAAATTAATATGGGTAATCCACAGTATTTGATCTAAAGGGTGTTTCAAAAAGGTGGCTACCTTGATAGGTTAGGTAAAATAAGTTGGGCTTGCTCACACCCTGTATAATTCATATAAAATGTTTTTATTTCCAACCAATATGTGTCGAGACTCGAGACTTGAAAGAATAAATAGTTCCTCAAATTAGTGACTTTTATTTATCTTAAAATCTGTGCTAAAATAATATTAATGGCGATAGTAGCATACATAACACTCAGTAAAAAAAAATTCGTAACGACATCCGTTTTCAAGATACAGGGTATTGAAAAAAAATCCACATGTTAAAAGGATATCACATTACCAACACTCGTTTAAAGTAAATGTTTGGAAAGCAACTTTAGGTAACAAATTAATTGGTTGTCACATTCTATCTGGAAATCTGAATGGCAATAGGTATCTCAAGTTTGTAGAAAATAATTTAATTGATATATTAGAAATTTTAACTCGAAACGAGCGGAGATCTCTCTTTTTATGCATGATGGAGCTTCCGTCACTTTGATAGAAGGTGTCGTAATAGGTTGAGTAACCATTATCCTAATCGAAGGATTGGTAGAGGTGCAGAAGCTCCGATTCATTAGCCTCCACGTTTATGCGATTTCAATCCTTTGGACTATACAGTTTGTTCGTATGTTAAGAAAAAGTCTATGCTACAGAAATAAATTCACGTTAAAACTTGCAAAACAGAATTGAACATTATTTTGTTGACCTTATAGCTGATCCTCAACCGTTTAGAAGATTAATGCATTCTTTAAAAAAAATGATAGAATTGTGTATTGATGACAACCGGAGACATTTTTGAACGGATGGATTATTTCATGTTTTTGGTAAAATTTATTTTAATTTTCTTCTTGAGATTTTTTGTTTAATTAATACCATTAGCATTAGAAAATTTTTATTGGTTTTAGTTTTTAATAAATGGGTAATTGTTTTTTTAAAATACTTTATACTAGCATCAACTAATATTTCATCATTTTCAAATCAAAATATTTCGAAAACGGCACACAGTATCGCGTTTTATCAAGAGATACTTTTTGGTGTAAAATTAAATGATGTTTGAGATTACATAAAATTTGGAATGAAAAATTTAACCTCAAAAAAATTATGTTGAAAACTACTCGGTATGAACCGTGTAACTAGCGCTCTCTATGAGAAGCAGGTATAAAAACTGAGTAAATCCAACTTTTTGCAGTATTCTACCTATCCTAGTAACGGGGGCACTTCTTTGAAACACCCTGTATATAAGCTATTTTCTGTACATTATTCATTATTTATTATTGAACGTACAAATATTGAGATAAAATTTAAACCCATGTCGAAATTTGCATAGGACCAGACTTGTTTTTTTGCCAATCCCAGCATAGCGGCTGCTGGCAACGGCGTACTTCATAAGACTATACACTGCATTATCAGTGAGTCTCGCACTGTAGTATTAATAGATTATAAGTATTGTTAATTAATTCTTAAAATTAAATCATTGTTGTCCTGCTTCTACCAATAGAACTTCATCATTGTTCCATTTTATTATACAGAAGATGAAGTTTTAGACTTCGAAACCTGTCACTTCATAAAGAAATACATTTACTATTATATAATTATTAAAAAGTTATTTGTAATTATTGTTAATAATATTGTTAACACAACTTTCAACAAGACATTCATATTTCATTTAATTTTACTTTGTATAAAACAAGATTTTTCTTTAAAATTCACAGTTCGCTGACTCCTGCGACCGAATTCATAAAGACGCATCCTCATTTTTCCTGTGAGAGTACTTTTCTGCGCTTTTGAACATACCTAGTGCACTCTCATAAATTCAAATGAATATGAAATTATGGCTGTTCAGGAAAAATTTTAAAATAAAATTTAAATATAGTTAAGAATACGAGCCACAGGCGACTGTATAATTTGAGTGTAATATGGTCATTATCGCTAATTTTAAAAAGGAATTATATATATTTTATCAAAATATCAATGTAACTGCTTTACTAAGCACACGTGATTTTTTTCTGTAGGGTAGAAGAATATAAGTAACAATCGAACTGTAACGGCCCACCCCCGGTACCCTATTTGTTCGTTATTTTACTCTTTGAGATGTTATTATTTGCCTCACAAGTTTATTTTACATTAAAATTCTATACTTACTGTATTTGGCCTTTTTCCTCTAGTGGTAAAAGTGTCTAGTTAATTAATTGATAATTTATATACCCACGTTGTGATAATGTTAATTAAGGTAAACAGGATTCGATGCAAAGTTTGGTGTAAATTGATAAATAAAAAGAAAAAAAAGTTATATTCAAACTCTTTTATTTTTCGTACTTTAAATGTGATGCAGTAATTAGCAAAGTATATTACAATTAATTTGTACTATTTACTGAGATCTCACTTGAGTCCCGTTCAAACACAGACTATGTTCATTTGCTATCAAGATATATTTTATTTAGGTTGTTGACCAACGGAGTTAACGAACAGCGTCAATTCGCCAGTTGGTTAACTACTGTGTTGATGTTTATATTCTTATTTAGGTTGCTGACCAACGGAGTTAACGAATAACGTCAATTCGCCAGTTGGTTAACTACTGTGTTGATGTTTATATTCGTATTAAGGTTAATTACTACATATTACTGAAGATGTTAGAGTTTGGAATATTAGATAACTTTAGTACATTTGAATTTGAAAACTACATGCAAACTCTAAAAAGGATGGTGCGGAAAGCAACAAAACCATTGCAACAAGTTATTAATAGACAACATGAATTAAAAAATCTAAACAAAAATTTACAAACTTTAAAACTTCTTCCTTATACTGTAAAAGAGCATGTGAGTGGACCTATTATTCCAAATTTACAGATAGTTTCTCAGTACGAGCAATTATTATTTAAAAACTTTACTTTATATTTAATTTCTTCAGATAATTGTTGTTACTTATCTAATGTCACCATCGTAGATATTAAAAACTTTGTAATTACAACTAACAGTGAAATTTTGATTATAGGAAATGAATATTTATCAAAACAAATTTTTTTACAGAGGAGTGTAATTCTTCAGATATTGATATTTATTTTCTTGATAAAAAAATGGGTGAACTGAAGTTTTGGAATATTAATTGAAATTGTATTGAAATGTGTTAAAATTAGTTTTAATAATAAGTTTGAGGTTTTCCTCTGTTACATACATATTAATTTTCTAAATCGTATTTTTTTTATTTTTTAGTTACACTTTTAAAACACTTAGTATCACCTGCATAATTTATTATATTTGTGTTTTATAGTATATTATTTTTTGTCTTGCGTTTATTTTTTTGATTTTAAAGATAATGGAGATAAAGACTGTTATTGCCTTCCAAATAGATAATAGTCTTGCATCCATTCCAACTACATGGATTATAGGAACTGATGAGTGTGTTTGGCCTCCATTAACTTCTGATAAAATCACTGCTGCAATAAAAAAACCGTAATCCAATAATCCAACATTTAAAATAAGGATATTTAGAAATGCTACATAAGGTACTGTTTTCAGTTTAAGTTTTGAAAATAAAGGTTAAAAAATAACTTTTATAGATGAATATGCATTAGCACGTCAAAAATGCATAAAAACTGAGGCAACGAGTGATATTGCTACATCTGATGTAGAAGAACAACATCGACGAATGAGAAAAGCTACACGCAAATTATATTCATCAGATGAAGATAATAATAGCTGCTCTTTTATAGCTACACCTCCAAGGCCTAAAAAGAATTTTATAAGATATTCAAATACTAAAAGAGGTAATTCATTCTACTGTTGTTACTTGCAATACCTTTTTATTTTAGCAAGTAAATTAGATAATCTATATTTCATGTATTTTCCGGGACAAATAATCTATGCTTTTATTTATTTTGCAGGACAAAAAGCTGATCTTCCTCCATTAGATATGTCTCAGTCACCCAAAATCAAATATTGCGCCTGTCACCCCTGTATCTACCACAATGTCTGCAAAAAATAGTTGCAACCAATGTGCTGCAAATAGTAAGTTCACCTAAATAGTATATTAGGTCTATATATTTTTTTTTATATTGAAAGTTATTTTTGACAAAATGGTACATTTTCACCAAATTCTATTTTTCAAATTTAGTCATAATTTATTAAAATATGTCAATTAACTCCTTAAAATTATTTTTAGGTGAATATATTAAAGAGATGCTCCGACAGCAATATCTAATTAAAAATATGGTAACGGATTTGTCAATCGAAATAAGATATTTTAAAAAACCAACTTTACAAGAAAATATTAGTTCAGACGATAGTTTATTTAAGAAACTAGCACTACCTTGTGAAAGTCCTGCTGGATTAACAAAATTGAATGAACATTTAGAAAATGAGGAAAACTTCAAAATTGCTGTAAATTTTGTCAAAGTATATTAATTTTATTTTTAGTAATATAGAGTTTTAATTGCATAAGTGCATCTGAATAATTATATTTAATTTTGCAATCCATCCTTTATTAAAAAAACTTACATTTTGATTCACAAATCTAATTTAATGTAATATATATTACTAGAGTTATTAAATTCAACTTTACTTTTTAAAATAACTGTTGCCTTAGAATTTATTTTATCAACAAAGTTATAATTGTCGTTTTCTTAAAGAGGAAAAATACTCTAATTTTATATTCTAACACTTTTTATATTTGTAGGTTACTGAAATTTCCCAAATATGTGAAAAAGATAGCTATGATTTTGTTAAAAGGGCGATGAGTCGACTAAAAACTAATAATTAGCCGCGCAATATAGTTGGTTAGGGAGAAGAAACAAGTGCAGCTTCTATACCTCAAAAGTAGCTAAACTAGTAATTGGTATTTTTAACTTATTCAAATTTTATACCTTATACCTATCGATACAAAAGTCTCAGCTGTTCTAGAAAAGTGATTCTTATATGGTTTATATGTCTTATATAATGTGTGGTATTGTATAATTTGTTAAATTGATTTTTACAATATTTATTTGCTCAGATTTTTTAACCTATTCTTTACTATTCGATGTTCTGGAATAATTAAGTACTATTTAATAAATTTTAGAGGCAGCCCTTCGACTTGAGAAGGACGATCAGAAAACTATTGACTTGAATATTTCAGCATGGCTGCGAAGATCGATAGATCGTCTAATATTTATAAAAAAGAAAGGTACTATGATGACAATTGATGTAGGTATATAAAAATTTTAATTGTTAAGGTTTTTTTAGTTTTGTAAAAAAAATATTTATGAAGTGATAAAGGTCTAATTATTATTGCTTCTATTTTTCCAAATTTGATTAAGTACTGTTAGAAAAATTAATAAAGATATCTACAAAAAAATTATTTGTTATTCTATAAAAGTGTATAGAAAAATATTTAAATTTTAAAAATACTGGCCAGGTAGCAGCACAGAATAATTTACCTTTATCAAACATAATTATTTTTTCTTTCATTTTAATTTTTTTGAATGTTTTATTTTTGAATTTATTTGTTTTTTGGAAGAATAAATTATTTTTTGGTAAATATGCATTTTTATTATTCCTAATAATAAATCAACCTTCTTAGTATACATTTAAAAATCTGATGTGTCCAACACATGACTTTCCTATCTAGTCATTATAGGCTTTTTCCAGTTATTTTGTACAACCTATTGCAGCACCTCTATAAATATTTAGAGTATAAACTAAATATATACATTTTCCACATACATCTACCTCGAAATATTTTTTTATAGATATTCATTGAAAACGAAAATACTGAAAAATTTAAATTTAGCACTCTTTCTCCAATTTTTCCATTACGGTCCATTTTAGAAAAATTATATATAAACAAAAATTATAGAGATCGATATCGCAAACAACTTTTAGTTTAACAATAAAAATCAGAATTTTGCACATTTTGTAAAATTTCTCGAATACGGACCAGTTCAGGAAATTTTCCAAACATAAATAATAGACATATTCCATAAAATATAAAAACGGCCTCCCATAAAGTACCCCCCCAGATGTTCCAACTTTGTCCAAAATCTAATCATTTCACGTCGGGCCAAAATAAAACTTAAGATTAAAATTTAATGTTTTTTTCTTTATCCGTTTTTGAGTTTTCTTCAAAATTCTAAATTTACACATTTTCTCAAATATCTCGAATACGGTTCATTTTAGAGAAATTATGTATAGAATAGAAATTATATTACAAACAAATTTTATTTGAACATATTTTATAAAAAAATATTTTTTTTTTCATTTTGTCAAATTTCTCGAATACTGACCATTTTAGGAAAATTTTGTATAAAACAAAAATTATAGATAATAATATTAGAAGTAACTTTTATTTAAAAATTTTTTTTCTACAGATATATTCCATAAAATATAAAAATGATCACCTATAAATTACCCCCCAGATGTTCCGACTCTGCCCAAAAACTAATCAGTTCATTGGACGATGGAATAAAGCTTAAGTTTAAAATTTTGTGTTTTTCTGTGTATCGGTTCATGAGTACGCACGCACGCACGCACGCACGCACGCACGCACGCACGCACGCACGCACGCACGCACGCACGCACACGCACACACACACACATACATACATCATCGCGAAAATAGTCAAAACAGATTCAGGGGACCTCAAAACGTAAAAATTCGTCGAAAACTCGAGGTCGAAAAAAATCATGATTCCTACACTTTCCTTATATCTGTATACAGATAGGAAAGTAAAAAATAATCTGTAGCTTTTCAGGATATCCAATATACGTTTGATGTATTTTTGGTAGATATATTTGCTACACCTACACACCATTTTATTTTCCAAATCCATTAAAATGCTAAAGATCAAAACATGCCAAAATTTAAATTAACATTCTCATATTCAGTATTTTAATGAATTTTGAAAATAGTGTTTAGATAGCGTATATTATCAGCAGTTCATCAACTGCTATAATGGACATCCAAAAATGGTACTAAATTATTTTTTAAATACGTCTATGTACGTACATATATCGAAACGAAAATGTAAACTGTATGTCTTAAATACATATTTAAAACATACAGTTACGTCTTATTTTGGATATTAGATGACTTAAAACGTATGTCTTTGGTACGTACTTTAGTGTGCCCATATGACCACCTATGTACGTACATAAAACGTATATCAGACATAAATGTACATACATAAGACATGCTTTACGTCGAGATGCTACGTTTTTAAAACGTACATAAAATGTAATTGTGTTTATTGGGATGTTTCAAAACACTCTGTATAAAATAAATCAGTTATATCACCATTATTCCTTAGCTTAGTATCTTATAAGTCTATATATTAAACAATTTTGAAATCAATGTAAATCTACCTAAATTATGATAATTTCATAAAAATATTAATTGCTTGGCAAACCTGCAATATTTTAAAAATACATTTTAGGATTAAATACAGCGTTACCGAAACATTCTAAAACTAAAATAAAATACAAATGTTCAATTTAAAAAATATACATTTTTATTTGCCAGGCAAAACTGAAACACCCTGTATGACCAAAAATATTTTTAAAATACGTATTTTTTTAAATCCATTTAACTTTTATTTGAAACTTGTTTGCGTGTCTATAACACAAATTGAAATAATAAACAATTACGCACTAATGGGACACCCTGTATAACTAAGTAAAATGCGACCCCAGTATTTTTTATATCTATTGCTTGAACTAGCATTATTTGTTTTTGAAATATTTAGAAAATGTTGGATCGATTTCTTGAATACCTCATTCATATATCAACGTAACCGTTACACACATATTTCTCTCAACTATAGTCACCTTTAAAGAATTATAAACTAGGCCGATTCCTCTTAAATATTCAAGTTGAAGGTCGTCTACAAAACACAATAATAATATCAGCATCACCACGTATGTAAATCTTTACACTGCACGACTGAAATTCATGATGCAATGTTAGAAAGGTCAGTTTTCACGAGACTTGCTAGACGAGGTTAGGTTATGTTTAGACAGACTGTTTCTAGACATTGGACCGACTAGACAGCTTATTGTGTAACAAAGTAATTAATCTTTAATTGCGTGATAAATATTGTCGATTTGCTACTTGCGATTTATTGATTAGCTGGATTCATGATTTTAGTTTAATTTTTAATAGAGTTTGTAATTTCGTAGACATTTATGATTCAGACGATTTTATTAAAGTAGTTATTACTTTTTTTTAATTAATTACAGAGTTGCTCAAAACTGTAAAAAGTTTGTTTGCACACATTTTTATAATTAACACTAAAAGAAGAACTTTGGACACCTCGGAATTCGTTTGTGATATAATAATTTAAGATGATGATATACCCTAGTTATAAGGATAGAGAATAGAAATACTAAAAGCAAAGTTAAATCCAATATGGTATTTTGCAGGACATCCACACAATAGATAGATGGAATAGTTACTGGTCTTATAGTAGGAAACTTATCTTTTGAAGAAACGAACAACCAGTGTCAATAAGGAAACGCTATATTACATTCATGATTACATTCGAGGAACCTTAAATGTCGGTGATTTTGGCGATGATTTTAACTATGATCTTAGATTATACAAACCGTAGATAGAACATAAGACACTGCGCATAATACCACTTATTATTCACACCGACCAATCACAGTTGAGGACATGACATGTCAGAGCGTTGTTCGTCCAAATTTAATGCGTCAACGAGAATTAATTTGGTATTTTAGTGACTTAAATTTTGGAAATTAACGTTGAAAATGCCAAGATGTGTTGTAAAAAGCTTTATTTATAATAAAAGTGCGAAGTGTGACATTTATTTCGACGGCCATATTTGTATATTTGACTTGGTCATTCGTACATGTTATAAGTAGCAAATTTAATAAAGGTTATTGATATAAACTGTTTAATATTTCTTATTTTATGGAAAATCTTTTTTCAGGAAGTGAAAAGAGTAATATACAATCAAATACAAAAATATCAATTTCATTACCAATTTATTCGTTTCAAATTTTACAACTGGTTTTAATGGTTTTTTCAAAACTATTTATTTAGCATTTCTTTATAATAATATGGGATCGATCCATTTAATTTATATTTTGTTTAAAGGTTATTATTTATAAGTAAATTTTTTTTTAATATAAATACTCTCTCTTTATACAAGGTGACCCAACGAAAACTTGACATGTGGGTTTTGGCTATTAGTATTATTAATGTTAAAAAACGCTCGGACAGATCAATTTTAGTTTGAAGGAGGACATCTTTTTATCATTCCCCTCCACTCCGTTACTGTAACCAATGCAATTTCAATAAAAAAGTGCCAAGTATGACACGCTATTGAAACGATAATTTTAGAGATTCAACTTCTATTTGGTTATTATTTTTAATATAAAAACTTTTGAAAACTAACATTTTTTTCAAAAATGTGAAAATAAAAAAGTTTTTACTTATCTGGATGAAAGAACTCACTAGTACCAAAAAACTGAGTAGGTACTTAATTTTGAGGTACAACTTAATCGAGTACTGCTTAGCTTTGTCGACACTGTATGCTACTTACTTTGAAAATATGTTCAGCTAGCCAGAGTGAATTCGTACCTACCTCTGCATAGTGAAGCAAAAATAATTTTTTTCCGATTGACATTAAAGCATGGGCGAAGTTATGTCATCAGATCTGGGGGGGCTAAAGCCCTAGCCCTAGTCATAATAGTTCTAGAGGTATACCTACTGAAGTTAAGTAAAAAAATTCTGGCGAATCTATGAAAATAGATAAAATATCA